CAGAGGAATCCAGCATCCTCATTTAACCAAGCAGTTGGCAGGGGCTCTTCCCTGGCATCAGTGTGAATTAAAGCACCCCATGTAAAGTGAATCTCACTGGAAAAAGAAGGATTTATTGTCATTTAGAAGCTTTGGTGATACTGGAAATTATATCTTGTACAGAGCTAGGAGCATTAGGCCACTTTCAGGTGGTCTGTGCCACACTGGCGTAGTGCATCCCAGAGAGAAGGGGAGTAATTGGTTTTCTGGATCATTGGTACAGGTCGCCTGGACACAACACCCTATTGCAGTGGACACGGCAACTACAGCATTGAGATCTGCGGCTGCGTTTGTGAGCCTGGCTGGAAAGGTCCCAACTGCTCTGAACCAGCCTGTCCACACAACTGCTTCAACCAGGGCCTCTGCGTCCAGGGCAGATGCATCTGCAACGAAGGCTTCACGGGTGAGGACTGCAGCCAGGTCTCCTGCCCGGCCGACTGTAACGACCAAGGCAAGTGCATCGATGGCGTTTGTGTGTGCTTTGAGGGGTACACAGGCACAGACTGCAGCGAAGAGCTCTGCTCCCAGGGGTGCAGTGTGCACGGGAGGTGCGTGAACGGGCGATGCGTGTGCCACGAGGGCTTCGCGGGCGATGACTGCAGTGAGCCCCTCTGCCCCAACAACTGCCACAACCGCGGGCGCTGTGTGGATAACGAATGCGTCTGCGATGAGGGTTACACCGGTGAGGACTGCAGTGAGCTCATCTGCCCCAACGACTGCTTCGACCGCGGGCGCTGTGTCAATGGGACCTGCTTCTGCGAGGAGGGCTTCACCGGGGAGGACTGCGGCGAGCTGACCTGCCCCAACAACTGCAACGGCAACGGGCGCTGCGAGAACGGGCTGTGCGTCTGCTATGAGGGCTTCGTGGGGGATGACTGCAGCGAGAAGAGGTGTCCCAACGACTGCCACAACCGCGGGCGCTGCGTCAACGGGCGCTGTGTGTGCCATGAGGGGTACCTGGGTGAGGACTGCGGTGAGCTGCGGTGTCCCAACGACTGTCACAACCGCGGGCGCTGCGTCAACGGGCAGTGCGTGTGCAACGAAGGGTTCATTGGGGAGGACTGCGGCGAGCTGCGGTGTCCCAACGACTGCAACAACCGCGGGCGCTGCATCAACGGGCAGTGTGTGTGCCATGAAGGGTTCATTGGGGAGGATTGTGGCCAGCTGAGGTGCCCCAACGACTGCCACAAACGAGGTCTCTGTGTCAATGGGCAGTGTGTGTGTGATGAAGGGTACACAGGGGAGGACTGCGGGGAGCTGCGGTGCCCCGAGGACTGCCACAACCGTGGACGCTGCGTGGAGGGGCGCTGTGAGTGTGACAATGGCTTCACAGGGGAGGACTGCGGCGAGCTGTCCTGCCCCAATGACTGCCACCAGCGCGGGCGCTGCATCAATGGGCGCTGCGTGTGCCACGAGGGCTTCAGGGGGGAGGACTGCCGAGAACAGTCCTGCCCCAAGGACTGCAGCAACGTGGGCCGCTGCATCGACGGACGGTGTGTCTGTGAAGATGGTTACATGGGGGATGACTGCTCCGATGGTAGGTTGCAATGTCTCTTTTGAACTGCTTCCCCATGGTAATTCCCTGTGCCCTTCCAGCAGCTTTGGAAGCTCTGTGAACCTTTTACATGTAGCCCAGCACTGTTGCCACTCTTATTTATCATCACCCAGACAGCTGAATTGGAGAAGTAACAACAACAGTAGCAAGATTTTGACCTCCCTAACCTTTCAGGGCTATATAGTCTAGAGCTTACTGGTGATTTTTAGTGGTCAGCAAGCCAGCAGGCTGACAACTGTGATGCAGTTTGCTCCCTCACAATGCCACTGGAGCCAGCACTGGTTGGGATTTGTCACCATGACCTTTCAGTTCCTCATAGCACCTCTTGATGCTTAAAAACCAAAATGCATCTGAAAGAAATTGTTCTAGATGTGGAGAAAAGGAAGATGCCTCCAGGGTCATCTTACTAGGAATTCAGCAGGATTAGTCAAAAGGATATGGGCCTAATTTTGACTAAAGAATAAGGCTTTGCAGGAAAGAGATAATATAGACAATGGATGCCAGTGAAAAAGGAGCCTGGATATCAAACATTTCTTGTAGCCAGGTTCTGGTTCCCAGTCTCATGCTGGATGGATAAGAAAGGGGTTTGGATTTATAATGCCATCACTACTGTAGGCAGCTGAAAATGAAACACACAGCCCTGACAACACTAACAGACCCACTCCAGGGGCTCAGTGGCCTTGTTCTGAAGACAGATCTCTGAGCTGGAGCCCTGGTGGAGGCAGAGGGTGTAGTTAGTGGAGACTGGGCACACATGGGAAATAATGTTGTCCCATCCGAGTGAGACAACTATCATAATGGAACTGCCAGATGGTGCAAATATTGCAGTTCAGGCTTTCAGGATTATCACAGGGGCCTTGGCTACCTCTCATTTTGGCCAGATAGATCTTTATAACTAAAGTAAATCTTGATTTTATATATATATATAATATATATATATGTGTGTGTGTGTGAATGTTAGACCTGATAAAAGCTTAGAGTAAAATCATGGAATCAGCTGGAGTGGAAACTTAGCTGTGAAGCCACATGCTTAGTTTCCCAATACCACTGACTTTATGGAAATTGATAGAAAATTTTGGCAGCTAGATAATGACAGGCATTATGCTATAAATGAGATTGTTTTCTTTAGTAGAGCCCAGGGGAGAAATTTTAGAACTAAGATCTTTGTAGAGTAATCAAAGAGTACTTTGGGGTTGGGAACATTATAAAAGACAATGAATACCCTTGAAAAGAAATCCTCATTTTTCATCTCCTCCTTCTGGAAGACTCCTAAGCCACATTTTGTGCTCTTGCACTTGCAATTTACAAAAATAATAATGTTTAATTTTACTTTGGAAAATCCATGCAAACCCCAGGACTTACAGCTATAAAACCATGTGCTGCTGGCAGTTGAATTGAATGTCTGAATCCCTAGGGACCCAGCTATAGTCTTGTGCAGTAGCTATGAGAGGAGGAGCTGGAACACAGTCAGCCATAGGCTGTGTGCAAGTGTGAACGTAGAAATTGGCCTTTTGGAAATGTCTGTAGTCTTCACCAGCTGAACATTCCTTTCTTCAAGCAGCTAATTTGTGGGACATGGCTTCCTCATTCCCTGTTTGTTAGATGATTCTTACAAACTGCTCCTGGGAAAATGGGGAACTGGGTAAGTCATTATTTTCTGAGCCTTGAAAACTTCTTACACGTTTGTTTTGGGTTTTCCCCTCCTTAGTGTCTCCTCCAACTGAGCTGACTGTGACAGACGTAACAGATAAAACCGTCAATCTGGAATGGAAGCATGAGAATGTTGTCAATGAGTACCTCATCACCTATGTCCCTACTGGCAGTGGTGGCTTAGACATGCAGTTCACTGTGCCAGGAAACCAGACAGCTGCCACTATTCACGAGCTGGAGCCGGGTGTGGAATACTTTATCCGTGTCTTTGCAATCCTTAAAAACAAGAAGAGCATTCCAGTCAGTGCCAGGGTAGCAACATGTGAGTTTTACACTCCCTGTCTTCTTTCTTTTGTCTATAATGTAGTATGTATTGATTTGCATCCCTTTGGAGGGGGGGGGGTATTATTTCTTTTGTATTTTCCATTTTCAATTCATCTTCTGCTCTGGACAAAGCCAGCTTTCTTCACTTTCATTTTCTATTATTTTCCAGTACCAATGACTGCATTCAAAGTTACAGCTCTCTCACTCTTCCACTCTCTGCGGTTCCTCCCAATGAATATCAGGGGGTCTTTGTAAATTAAGACCTTTGGCTCCTTCATAATTAGCTCCATTTTAAAATCTGGTAATGCTTCCTTTAAAACCAGGAAAATGTAACAGTGTATAAGAGGAATGTGAAATCACTTGATTCAAACTGTTTTGGCTGAAATTGAGATTTTATTTGTTTTGTATCTTCTGTGTGGTTTACCACAACTTACTTTCTATCTGCCTGTCCATTCATTTGTTGTTCATCTTCCTTTTTGTATTGTGCACATCACAGTCATAGCTAAACACCCCAGCCTCAAAAGATGCTCTTTGACTTCTGTCACTATGCTCATTCCTAGAGACCTGGGACAGGATTCATGTCACCTGTCTTTTAATGTCCATACTAGGCTTCCTTCAGGAGGGCAGAAAAAGAGTTTTTTTAGGGCAAAATTCATTTTACTCTGACATCTAAACCAGGTCAGAGGAGTGTCTCTCCAAAGACAGAACAACTGGCTGTGAAGAGGGTTTAAACATCTCAGATGCAGATAAATAGGAGGCAGATATTTATAGTGGTGGAAAGATGTCCCCCTCCCAGGGTCCTCTTTGAGAGACCTTGTCACCAGGTAATGATATCCTTCTATTGTCACAGATCTGCCTGCTCCAGAGGGTCTCAAATTCAAGTCTGTTAGAGAAACATCCGTCCAGGTGGAGTGGGATCCTCTAAACTTCTCATTTGACGGCTGGGAGCTGGTCTTCCGTAATATGGTAAGGGAGCATATGGTAAGAGGCCATATGCAAGTGGAAGAGCCTGGATTTTTTATGTTAATACTAACTGAGTGTTCCATGTGTTACAGAAAAAGGATGATAATGGAGATATAACCAGCAGCTTGAAAAGGCCAGAGACATCTTATATGCAGCCAGGTTTGGCACCAGGACAACAGTATAATGTGTCTCTTCATATAGTGAAAAACAATACCAGGGGACCAGGACTATCCAAAGTGATAACGACAAGTAAGCACAACCTGTACTTGGTGTAGGGTCACCAATAAAACAGCTGCTGTTTGGTGTAGGGAGCTTTTAAACAAAGAGAATGCCAAGTTCTCTATACTGTAAATCAATAGGGGGAAAAGAAGTAGTAGTGGAGCTGCTAATGAAGGATACATGAAAAGAAATTAATTCCTTTCCAAATTACCTGTTTGAAGAGGAAATGAATTATTTTTTAGCTAGAAGGTAGCAAGGAGCATTTTTATTCTATTTCCCATTGTACATCAACAGAAAATAGAATTTCTTTCATCCTAGTATTATTTGCATGAAGAAATTGGTTAAAGGAGAATCTGTATTGTGCAGGGGGAGAACCTCTTAGGGTTCCTGCTTGTCTTTGCTTGGCAGCTTCTGATGTTAATGAATTTTGATGAATCTGCTTCTGATGAATTGACTCCATTTTGCATTTTCTTCTGCAGCTATGGAAAGCGAAGTGAGAAAGTAGATGAAGATAAGCTTCAGTTGGTAGAAGCCACTCATTTTAATTTTGAATCATAAATTGAAAGCACAAGAATGTGTATGATTCTTATGGCAAGATTTCTTTAAAAACCACTTTTCTCTCTTTTTGTAACAGAGCTTGATGCCCCTAGCCAGATCGAGGCAAAAGATGTCACAGACACCACAGCTCTTATCACATGGTCCAAACCTTTGGCTGAAATTGAAGGCATAGAGCTCACTTATGGCCCCAAAGATATTCCAGGGGACAGGACAACCATTGACCTCTCTGAAGATGAAAACCAATATTCTATTGGAAACCTGAGGCCACACACAGAGTACGAAGTGACGCTCATCTCTCGTCGAGGGGACATGGAAAGCGATCCCGTGAAAGAAGTCTTTGTCACAGGTAAGAGGCTTGGATGCCAATTCCAACCTCTGGGAAGGTAATGCAATCACCATCAGTCTTCCTGTGCTGTTTGTGTTGTGTTGCTTGAGTTGATGAGTTACTTCATCAACACAGAATCAGCAGTACTATTATAGAGGTACATGAAAGTAGAGAATGTTTTTCTGTGCCTTATATACCCTACTGGCTCAACAAAATATACTCAAGTATCTAAATGTATTTTGAAAATGAGAATTATGCTATTAAGTCTCTTAAAAGCTTTTGCTCATCATATGCTGAATCTCCACTTCAGGAAACAAATATCCTCTAGGTTACTTATCTTCTATGGTTTCTATTCCATCTAAGACCTTATTTCTGTTTGTCTAAAGCATAACAGACTAGCAGAAAACTGCTTTGTTTTCATACTGCAGTTCTTCAAATGTTTTCTGTCATGTTTTTTATAAATTTACTTTGCTCTTTAGTGACCCTGAGAATGCTTTATGAAAGTGTGAGTCCTTTAGCATGTCATCAAGGTCTGATGCATTAAGGGAGCTGAGTAAATGGTACATAGGAAATAACTTCCCTTTTCATCCTGAAATGTAATTGTTCATCCAGAGCAGGATTTGAGCCTACTATAGGTGTGAACAGCAAAAGCCCATTGAACTTCTGTATAATATTCACCTTTTCTTTTAAGCCTTAGAGCTCCTTTCAGCTATGAATGCAAGATAATTACTGAACAGAAATCTAGACATGATCAGCAGCCTTGATCCTTTTGAAAGCTGATGTATTTATAGAGGAAGAGTAGTATTTTCATCCAAACGTGTTTTTCCACAAGCCTATTTTGTAAAGAAAATAATTGCTAAAGTTGAAATTGTTATTTTTGTCTTAGGAGATAAAAGTTTAATTTCTTCCACTGATCTTTTCTCCACAGCCAGTGAGCTCTCCACTTCGCGGTAAAAGAAATTGCTTGATGTAGTTAAGAACATAGATTTATCATGTGAGAGGACACTTAACTTCAGCTTGGTGGATCATTCCACCCTCTAAAAAGTACTGTTATAAGAGACTTCTGTCGTAAGAGAATTATTCCTATGTATTTATTTATTGGTTTATTGATTACAGACTTGGATGCTCCAAAAAACCTGAAGCGAGTGTCGCAGACAGACAGTAGCATTACTTTGGAGTGGAAGAACAGCCATGCAAATATTGATAACTACCGCATTAAGTTTGCTCCCATCTCCGGTGGGGACCATGCTGAGATCACAGTGCCAAAGGGCAACCAAGCAACAACCAGAGCTACACTCACAGGTAGGAGAATGGTGAGCTAGTCATCAATGTCATGCCGCTGCCATCACCGAGGGCACAGTAATGTAGCACAAAAGTACCCTTTTGGTCACTATACAGAAGAGGTACAAGCAGAGGTTGTGCATTTTGAGTATAGGCAAATATCACATGGATGTCTATGTGCTTTTCTTTGGCAAAAGTACCTGTACTGCAAGCTCTTGAAAATAGAAGCTATGTCTGATTATGCATTTGCACAGTGTCCAAAATGTGATCTCAGTCATAATCTTTATATTTAAGCATGTACATGGAAAAGGATTTATTAACATCAGGTCAGCTGGAGGGTCAACTGGAACCTCAATTCTCTGCATGCACAGGAAAGCATATATCTTAACTTGCATACATTCAGGCTTCTTTGTTTAAACAAATGCCTATAAGCATATTCTGTGGACAGAAACTCATGCTCCTATTTCTCTTCACTTAGGGTTGAGGCCTGGAACTGAATATGGCATTGGTGTGACAGCAGTGAGACAGGACAGGGAAAGCGCTCCTGCTACTATTAATGCTGGCACTGGTGAGTAACTTGATCCCCTTTTGCTCTGGAGGAAGCAGCAAATCAAGTGGATAAGCCTCTGAGCTGTTGCTAGACAGCCAGTATAGATGCTAATCTGTCAACTCTGCTTTTTTAACCTGTAGATCTTGATAACCCCAAGGACTTGGAAGTCAGTGACCCCACTGAAACCACCTTATCCCTTCGCTGGAGAAGACCAGTGGCCAAGTTTGATCACTATCGCCTCATTTTTGTTAACCCCTCTGGAAAGAAGAGTGAAGTGGAGATCCCCGTGGACAGCACCTCTTTTATCCTGCGAGGGTTGGATGCAGGGACAGAATACACCATCAGCCTGGTGGCGGAGAAAGGCAGACACAAAAGCAAACCCACAACTGTCAAGGGTTCTACTGGTGAGTGACAGCTTTTGATGAGTGCCGTGCACCAGGTCATTGGGCAATGACTAGCCCAAGTCTTCACCTCATTTTGTAAGCCATGCCTGGACAACTGCTTAGAAACATCAACTGCCTACAGAGCAGACTTAGCTCTGTCTAACATGATAGGCTTAACTGAGGGATAGCTGTGCATTTCCCTGCCTACCATGTCTAGCTCCATATTCTCAATGATTTCTTGCTTAACCTTTGAGAAGACTTGCAAAGAACACAGCTCTTTGTCCTGCATGAAATGCAGATCTCATCCTTTGTTTTAAATGAGGCTGTTCTTTGTGTATTATGTCTTGTAACTTGTTTTGTTTTCTACAGCCAAAACCAAAAAGGAAGAGCAACCAGAATGTATTTAACATTACTTGTTTCTGCCTAATGAATTCTCTTCACAGCATGCCTCCACTCATCACGCTTCAGCAGGGTCAACAGGGCTCTGATGCTGCCTTTTTTTTCAGTTTTGTCATCCAAAAGCTAGAAGGGCCTCCAAATCTGGTCACAGTCACCACTTCCATGGAGACCACGACTGTTACGTTTGTCTACAGAGAAAGGGGGCATTTCTGTCATCTTCATTTGTACAAACCACTCCGAATAACCATTATCAGTGGATTACTTACCACACAAGGTTTTATTCTTTGTGAGCCATTTTAACCCAAAGTTTGTTGCACACAGAATTGTATCTTGGTACAGAGCATAAATAAGTCTTGAATTTTTACAGGCATTCAGGCTAAATTCTGTGAGGCAAAGCCTGAAGTGCTGTGAGCAGAGACAGTGAAATCAGAATCAGCTGACAATTCCTGTCCTTAGCACTGATCAAAGGGTTTCTCTTTTTCTCCCCAAAGACCATCTATGAGGTAAACATGTGACAGAAGTTATGGATTTTACAAATTAATAACAGTTTAACAAATCAAAACTGGTTTCATATTCAGTGGTGGTGTCCATCCAAGCACAACCTCTGAGTGCTTTACAGATTTCACTGTAGTTTACAGATTTTTCTGTAGTTTATGCTATGATGCAAACTACAGAAAACCAGCAGTACTGAATTACTAGTTTGATGCAAGGCCTGTGTCCAGTGTTGGGAAATAACAGGAAGCCTTGAGGTATGCACATACAAATGGAAGCCGAAGGTTTATGTGGCAAGAGTGAGCTGACTTTGATTCTTCCCAAGTTACCAGATGCTTCCCTATCTGTCTGAAGACTGAGTGGTCTCAAAAGGAGTATGTATAGATGCTGAAACGGCAGAAACAACACGTTGTGGAATTTCACAGCCTGGCCTTTTCAGCACCAGCTTCCCAAGTCTCACAAGGTAGCTTCTTTTTCCTGATTTAGAGCTCTTATAAATCCATTCATCGGGCAGGGTATCTGTTTTACACCTTTACTCAGAGCAGACGGTAGAATTCTTTGTAGTGGGCTCTTTAGAAGCATCAGCAGTAGTTAACAGAGCCTGTCTCTATGACCTTCCTCCTGTGTAGGAATGGACAAATCCAAACACATGGGCATGGGGAGGCAGAAACGCTCTATAAGCCTGTGGGGTGTAAGAGACGAGGTCTTTCCTTCAGTTTACTTTTTTATCCACCCTCAATACCATACTCTTTATCTGTGTTCCCAGTACCTGGGAGGTCCTGAAGTCTTCAGGCTAAGCCAAACAAACTTGGTTTGCCCTCTCTTGCAGAGCTATGGGGGCTCTCACGTCCATTGCACTGCTGGGGTAAATACTTGGAGCAACAAGGGAGACAGAGGAATGATTGAAGTGGAAAATGCCAGTAGCACAGCTAGAACTGGACTAGCTCTTCTCAGAGGGTGGGGGAGGCAGTCCTGCTGTTTGGAGGGGCATGTGCCACCCCTGCTGAACAAGGGGGCCAGGGACTGCAGAATGGGTGAGAGCTTTTCTTCTCAAAGTTTCCTTTGCTTCTCCACGTTGCCAGTTTTTCATCTTACTTTCTTCCCAACCTCTTGATCAGAGTCAGGCATCCCTGCCAGCTGCTGTTCAGGAGCCTCTCACATGGTATTATTTATTTGTATAGTGGATTTTCTATTGCTGAGGGTAAAGCTTTTTTCAGCCCCAGGGCTGAAGATCTTCTGTCAGTACCTTCTCTCCCTTCTTGCATTCTTCTTACTATCTTTTTTTTGTATATCAACTCCCCACACAGAGCTGAAATGTTCAGAGCTCATGAACAAGGAACGTGTCCCAAAACCTTCCATAGTATAGGATGACAGCTTTCTGATGTTTCTGTCTCTTCTTATAGATGAAATGCAGCTCAAGTGACAAAGGTTTTTGCAACTGATGTCAACAATTCTGTATTCAAGGGATGAAAGGGATTATAAAGTGAACAGTTTGCTAAGGGTCATTTTATTGTACTGAAAAGGGAAGACTGAATATTTCACACTGCCATTTGCTTGTCTGTTTCTTCATGGCTTTATATAGGCAAAGCCAAATGCAGTCAATGACTCCTTACCCAGAGGAGCTTCCTGGCTCTGGGAGCTTTCATGCTCCAGAGGCCTCAGGGATGCAAGAGGATGCTCTGAGGGACCTTGTGGTCTCAAGGATGACTGACCACAGCTTTAGTGTCTCCTGGTATGCAAATACAGGAGTCACAGTAGTTCTGTGGTGGAATACAAGGATGTGCCATTGGCAGCTGAGCCCCCTGCAGAAACCTCCCTGCCCAGAGAATCCCTAAGTGCTGTGATTGATGGCCTCCAAGCTAAAACTTCCTATAAAATCAAGGTGTATGGACTGGTTGGAGAACAGCGCTCTTCTCTGGAAGGTGTGGCTACAACAGATACCTCCTTTCTGTTATTAACAAAGGTGTCACAAACTAGGGTACTACCTGTTTGTTAGAGGTCCCACCCAGCATCGCACTAAGGTTTTGGTTTAGAACTGTTTCTGAAATCAAAGAACATGAGCCATTTTACTAGTTGGAGGGACCGTTCTGGCAGCATGTCTTGAGGATGTTTCATCAGATTAATAACTAATTTGTAGGGTGAGCATGTAATCCTGCTCTGAGGAAGCTGAGCAGCCAGAGTCCAGCTTTGTTCTTGCTCTGGTTTGGAACCCTGCCTGCATAGCACAATAGTCCTGGAGGAGGATGGATGGTAACACATCAGCCACGAGAGGCCTGTGGAAATAAATGAGTGGACATTAGAGAAACCAAGCGCCAACCTCGAATTCCTCTGCTGAAGGACCCAGATTGTGCAGCAACTGCTGATGAATCGTGGTTGTGATACTGTCTTGCATCTGGAAGTGAGTTGCAATAGGAGCATGGCTCAGAGAAGTATCTTTTCCATTCTGTTGAATGTTTTTAAGATAATTTATGCTTTTACCAAAGACTGTTGTCTGCACTGTGCTTCAGTTCCCTCTTCCTCTCCTGGCTTCTACTTATCTTATATTGCTCCACCCATTTTTATGCAAACTCAAACATTAGGAAGAATGATTAGGTGAGGCAGTTCAATGGGAAACTGCCGTGCTGGTGACTGGCAAACTGAGTTTGCCAGTAAAGATTGTCCATTTATTCAGCTGATTCCTCTGCTGAAAATACCTGGAACCTGACTTCAGTAGGAGCTGCTGTAGCATTTCTGGCTTATTACTCACTGCAATGTTTTCTTTATGAAGTTCAGAGGGGCAGAGGCACTCTAAGCCCAGTTTAATCAGCTGCTTGGCAGAGGGGAAAGCTATTTAGCCAGAGAGATCTGAAAAGAACCAAAAAACCTTGATAAACCATCATATCTTACAGTGTGCTTGAGCTTATGAAAGACTCTGCAATGAAACCGGTTCACAGCTCCTCTTGGCAAATAATATAAAATCCAAAGAGCAAGAAATAATACAGAATACTGTATTATGAATACTGAATCCCAAGGAACTGGGGAAATGTCCTGGCAGGACATTAGCATTCTTTTTAGTAAAATTGCCAGTGAAGCATTGCGGTGGAATTCCTCAAAAGGCTATCAACAGCAGTATAGATGTATTTAGGCCATGTTCGGCTTGGAGATTTTACAAAGAGAATTAAACTAAGAAGTATTGCAGTCTGAGAAAGAGCATATGTTTGTTGTCCATTCAGTTTCCCCTCTACATTGCTTTCAGCTCTTTGGCATCAACTTTCATTCATCTTGCCACCACGAATCACTCTATCTGGTTGTCATCCACCCACCTAGGGCTCCTAGAGCTCTCTTCTCTCCATATATTCCCCTGGTTGCCAAGTCAAGTGTTTGAACTCCATTGGTCTTATCCTACAGTTCAATGGTTTTCCAGATTTTCTGTTATCTGTTATAGTATTCCATGTGCTAAACAATGAACACTGATACTGCCTGTGGTATCAGAGAATTTCCTATGTATTCCTATAATTTTCATTTTCCTATCTGTTGTTTGTACAAAAAGCCACATATTCCTCTATTACACGTGAACTTTATGTGGCTTATATGAGTGTTAATACATGTGTGTAGAGGGTAGACCACTCTCATCCACAAATTCATTTGTGGAGTCATTAAACCCAAGGTAGTATTCAGAATTAGGTCTGAAAAATAGTCAGAGGTAATGTAGTTACATATAATTTGATATGCTCCATGAGACAGGCTGTGCATGGCAACCTGCCATGTAGTTGGCAAAGTTGGCAGAATAAAATTAATCCACTTGTGACAGCGAACTTCAGAATTAAAGTGTCATTTAGGTAGTTGGTACCTCAGTTTTGGTATAATACAGTTGAACAGCTGCTGTATTTTCCATTCACATTAGAGTAACCAAGTTCTTGTGTGGTTATACTACAACTGGATCTGGGATAATGTCAGGAGGATGGTCTAGTAAAATGAGGGAAAATGGGGAGCCAGTTTTGACTCTCATTACACAGAGTTTTCTGATAGATCTTCAGTTTATCAGGAGTGTAATGTCAGCCTTTTATTTTTCTTTTCTATTTCTCTTGTATTCTTTGATGTTTTCCTTTTGTTTCCAAATCAGGGTGCATGCCAGTTTCCTAGTGGGACCATCCAGAGCATGAAGCTGTACCTGTACCAAGTACTGCTGCCCTGTCCTCCCCACTGGTCTGTTCACTCTACCTATGCATGTCTTCTGCAGAAACACTCCACAGTAAAGCCCAGCTACCACTGTGCATGTCAAGTAGACAGCCTCAAGGTTGAACAAGTACCAATTGCTTGATGCTTGATGGTTTTTAGCCTGTTCCCAGAATAGAAAAGAGCTGGTTGACATCTAATTGTGCACAAGCAGCTGAGAGTCCCAGGTGGCTAATGGTTCCTCACTGCATGTCTTCCTACTTCACTACATAAGCACAGTAACCCTGGTGCAGTCAGTTCTGACAGCTGTTTTACTGAGGAAGAAGGAATTATGCTAGTGGTTATATTGCAGGTAAGCTGGGGCGATGGTTTTTCAAGTTACAGCATAGAAAGGGCCTGTTTCAGACTCTGTGCTGAGGTAATTTAAAGCAGGCCCTCACCTAAGTCAAGAATATC